TAACATGAAAGCATCTCTGGAGGCAGCAAATTGGTGACCCACAGGTTAAATATGGCCTGCAGATCACATTTTTAAATGTGTGAGGCTTCTTAAAGATTTGAAGTTCAATAGAATTGGATTGGTCCAGTACTCTACAGTTTACCATAATTCCAACCCCTCCCTTTTACACCCCACCCACTGCTTCTCACATTTCCCTGCTTGGCTCCTGCGGGTATTCATGTTTGCAATCTCTGACTTAGAGGTTTCAATCAATTGCTATCTCAATAGGAGTCAACTGTTGTCATGGTTACCTGAATAGGATTATGCAATCTCAGACATGTTCAATGGAAGAATAATGTTGAGAACAAGGGAGATTGTGTTTTGACCTGATTTTTTCCTGCTACAGCTGGCTTTTTGGCTTTTCAGAGGGACATTTACAAGTGTCCAGGGAATGATCACACAGGCATAGCTCCAAGCCATGTCCTGTGAAGGGTAGTTGATAAGGAGAGTTGACTGATGAAGGACTCCTGAATGGGTGCGCTTCTCTTTAGTTCCACTGTTCCCCCTTTAGTTAAACCACTGGACTACAGCAACAACTTAACACCCCAACTTAGTATCTCCTTCTCTCTACTCTATAATCCCCTATAGTTGACTGTTCTTGCATTACTATAAAGAAATACCTGAGACCGGGTAATTTACTAGAAAAAAATGTTAAATTGGCTCATGGCTCTGCAGGCTGTACAGGAAGCATGGCACCAGCATCTATTTTTGGGATGCCTCTGGAAGCTCACAATCCTGGCTGAAGGCAAAGTGGGAGCTTGCACATCACTAGGTGAAAGCAGGGGCAAGAGAGAGGGCAGGGAGTGCCACGCACTTTTAAACAACCGGATCTTGCAAGAACGCACTTGCTATCATGAGGACAGTAACAGGGGATGGTACAAAACCATGGGTGAGAAACTGCCCCATGATCCAATCACTTCCCACCAGGCCCCACCTTCAACACTGGCAATTACATTTCAACGTGAGATTTGGGCAGCGACACATATCCAAACTGTATCTCCCCCATATCCTAGTTCATCTCAGTATTTAACTTCTTACATATTACCTGGATCTGCACACTTCTGGTACTCCTCACTCCCATCTGTCAACGGCCTGGACCAAGTGCCTACCTAATGACTTTTCAACACTCACTTTTTCCTCTCCAATGTATTCTCCAAGCTGCACACAGCAACCTTTAAAAACATATGCATAACTATGCCTTCCCCATGTTACCTATGTTCCCACCACACTGGTCTTCTTCCTGCCCTCAAACACGCTGGTTTGCACCTGCCTGTGAACCTTTGCTCATGTAGTTTTTTGCCTTGGAAATACCTCTCCCAGATCTCAACATAGTTTGTCTCTTTTTCAACATTAAATGTCTCACTTCAAACACCATCTCCTGAAGCGATCTTTATTGATCATTTTGGAGGAGTGACCACTCCCAGTCACTTTCTACCATGTTTTTCTACCTTTTTTTTTTTTTTTTTTTTT